GGACTCTATTTAATGTGCTGAAGGAGGTTATCTGGCTATCAAAGTTTTACAGCTTTATTTTCAATGGAATCAATTATGCACTGAACACAAACAGCAGCTTCCTTTTACTGAGTGCTTACTTGGTGCCCAGAAATTTAACTAACAATTTATTTTGCAAACACTTGAACAGGACCACGTACCAGGCACAGTTTTAAGTACTCTGCAAATATCAATTCAAGTAACAATCACTGTGAGATATGAACCTGTGCCATTCCCCCTTTACAGATAAGGAAACTGAGAACGGGGTGGTGGTGGGGGTGAGGAAATGTATCCAAGGTCAATAAGCTAGTAAGTGGCCTGCTTATTACCTACTATACTGTATTGCCTCCTTGTCTTAAACAATCATTAATCTCTCCACACTGTCCCTGAAAAACACAGTAATTTCTAATAAACAGAACAGAAGCCCTGGCCTGCAGAAGTTAATTAACCTACTCAAAGTGACAGATGCAAATGGCATCGCCAGAGTCTGTATCTGCACTGCCTGTTACTAGGCTCAACACTCCACACGAAATCTTGATTAAATTGTGGTAATTAAAACGAAGATTTATTTTTATTACTTTTAACTATTGTGCCTGTGTGCATTTGTGCATGCATATGTTGTGCACAGTGCCTACAGAGTCCAGAGGAGGGTGCCGGATCTCTTGGAGTTGTGAGTCACTTTGTGGGTGCTAGGAACGGAACTTGCATCCGTGGAAGAACATTATGAGCTCTTCACTGCTGAGCCGTCTCTACAGCCCTGAGTTGTAGTTATTTTCTGAAAAATCCCTCCAAGTAACTAATATATTTGAATCACCAGGTATTTATTATAAAACTTTCGGGATGTGAAAGTTGGAGAAAAATACTAAAGATAACTCACCTTAACACATCATTAATCATTATAAGCTAAAATAGCCAAGATGTTGAGCCAGAAACAGTGCTACAAGTATGGAACCTCCTGAAAGCCTGTTGCTTTGTTTCAGCCTCTCCCCTCAAATGTCCCACGCTCCTATTTCACGAAGGTGGAGTCCTCGTGATTGAGACAACCTGAGCACAACTGCGGGTGAAGCCAGGGCTCTGCACCGTTGAGTTATTACTGCAGGAAGCATAAGCTAAAACTTAATCTCAGAGCCATACTTCTGTATTTATGAAAACTAACCAAGATTTATACTTCTGTTTCTGTCTTTTAAATACAGGCACATTTTAAATGAAAATCTGATTTTGATTTGCCTTTTCAACTTCAACATAGGCAGCTTAAAAAGTTCACTTTTAGCAAATTATAGCGATCTTAATAAGCAAAAGAAGCAGGTGAAAAGTTAATACACTGAGCAATAATTCTGTCCTTTTTTTTTCTTTTGAGTTCTTTACATAGAGTCCCACAGGACAAGTGTAGTAGATCTCTTTAAAAGTCAAGAATTCCAAGTTATCAAAAGATTATGTCCTTAAAGGTAAGCAGGGCCATCAAAAGCTGTAAGTTCTATTAAAAAAGGACAAATATTTGGTGGAGGAATCATGTAAAGGACAAGCTTCTAATCTGGTCTATACTTTCTGTCCACCCAGCTCCTGCCAGTGATAGAGTAGTACATCTCAGTCCTCACAAGAGAAGGTTCTTTTCATAAGGGATAGTAATCCAGAGACTACACCTGGTCAACGTGTCCAGCCCTAAGGGGGACAGCTACCCACGCCCCCTCCCTTCAAGGCTCAAGGATCATCCTGGAAGGGAGGAGGGATTGTAAGAGCCAGAAGTAGTGGACCTCTGCGGCCAAACAGTACTTCCTGGGCATGACAGTGCTGTTACACACATGAACTCACAGAGACTATGACTTCTTGTACAAGACCTGGACAAGATCAAGCCATCCAAAATCCCAGCATGCACAGGGGAGGGGACTCATGAAGTTCCACTCCTAGCAGGAGGAGCTATTCCCAAGTGATGGCTGGTGCGGGAGGCGGAGTCAGTTTTCTTCAGGGACATACTATGTTCCAATAGAGGAGCCCCCCCCACACACACACACTGGCAGCACTAGTGCTCAGTGTGGAAAAAAGCACATGACACTGGGAGGAAACATGAGTGGTGGGTTTGATGCATCATTTGTATTATGAAATTCTCAAACAGTTACAACTCCTACAAATACTCAAGAGAAGTTCTTTTAAAAACACATCTGAACTTTGTAACACATGGAGTCCTTCATGATCTGTCCCGACTGACCACCTGACCAGCTCAGACTCTTTCTTTCCTATCAGTTTTCACTGGCACTTGGCATAGCTCCCGAGCTAGAGCCTGAAGTACTCTGGAGTTCGAGACTAGTGGAACACAAAATTACCATAGTGATTCCACTTGAGGACTGACACATAATGCTTGGAAAGAACAAAGGAGTGGCCAGAGAGATCTCACTTGGAATTGTAGAGCTGCTGCCGATTACCTGTGTTGCTTTAGCAAGTTATCTGACCTCTTGCATTTGGTTTTCCCATTAAAAAACAAAACAAACACCCTCGTGATAGTTCTGCAGCTTCCAAGTATGCTGTGAAATGAATGACAAGAACTCAGCAGAGCACTCGAAAATAGCAAGGGCTTAAGTCAATGTTAATCGTCACTATCTGAACCAAAGGGAACAATTCTAGGTACCTGACATTTTACCTGTCTTCTATACAGTTAAGAAAGCTTGAATCTTCCATATTCAAAGGCAAAAATAAAACAGCAAACCCCAACAAAATGCAAACTTAAATGCTATATAACATTAGGCATACTGCACTGACCTACCTATATTTGTGGCAGAATTATAGTAAAAACATACAACACTTGGTTATAATCTAGAGTAATAGTCTGTATTTTGTATTTACAAGTTTTTTTTTTTTTTGTATTTTACTTGGGACATTTACTTTTGTGCTTCTGGTGATGAACACCTTGTAAATCTCAGGGTGCAAACTTAAAGTCTCAATGCTTTCTTCTGCCTAACAAGACTCCTAGGAGCCCTTATGTTAATAAAAAAAATACACAGGTGAAGCTGGAGCTTCTAACTACAGAAAGTTAAAAAGGGAGTGGGGAGAGGGCTTTTCTGTAAAAGGTAATTTTAAGGCAGCTGATACTTAAAAAAATAATCCACAAGTAAATTAGAGAAGGTTATCAAAAAATAACTAAAATGAATGAGACCAAACAGAAAGGCAAACAAACAAACAACAAAAAAGATGATTAAAGTGAGGGAAATACCAGAAATGAAAGTAGTAAACTCAAAAAAACTAAGACATAAACCAACAACCCCTTATGGAAGCACTGTTACCATGCACTGAATTTTTATAACAAAAAGAGACACCTCACCAGTGCAAGTCCCAGGGCTGTTCCATACACTAAATCTCCCTGTGTTCAGCTCTCATGCTCCACACTATAGCCAGAGTTTGCTGATATACAAATTTAATTTTCCCCACTTTACTCAGATACATACTATCAACTTGACTAGCTTGGATTCCCATCAAATAGGAAACAGACTCTCAAATCTCAAATACGGCACTCAAGACCGTTCCTACTCTGTTTGCCTAAGCTGCTCCTCCTCCTCTGCTGCTGCCTTTGCCCATACTAAGCTAAGTAAGATCTTCACCATCCCAGTCTCCATCTGCCCGACTACGGTATCTACTTCTGCATTTTTGGCAAGCAGTTAACTCATCTCTCAAGCATAAGTTCAAACATCTCCTGATCTGGGATGCTTCCCTGGCTCCTCAGGTTGACTGATGTTTCATCACTTATGTTTCTGCTGAAGCTGATATATAGTTATACCCTTACCACTTTTTTATGTGGTGCAGGGGAACTGAAACCAGGGCCTTGCATATGCCACGTACATGCTCTCTCACTGAGCTCTATATATACACCATTTTTCTGTATGTTTATAACTGAAGGTATAATTAACAAATAAAAAGCATACAATGTGAAGTTCTGATATACATATATGTGTGAAATAATTTATACATATCACATTTTTAACAGCATAATGCCTGGCATATATTTTACCACATATGAGTGTGTTTTGACTATGTGAGTTAAGAAATTCAATTGTCAACTTTAATCCCAGAATTTGGGAGACAGAGGCTGTGAGTTCAAGGACAGAGTGCTCTACATAGAGAGTTCCAGACTAGTCAAGGCTACATAATATAACACTATCTCAAGAGGCCAAGATGAAAAAAAAGAAACTCCCATTATAAAATTTGAAATTTGAGCTGGGCGGTGGTGGCACACGCCTTTAATCCCAGCACTCAGGAGGCAGAGGCAGGCGGATCTCTGTGAGTTCGAGGCCAGCTTGGGCTACAGAGTGAGTTCCAGGACAGGCTCCAAAGCTACACAGAGAAACCCTGTCTCGAAAAACCACCACCACCACCACCACCAAATTTTTTTTTTTTTTTATAATTGAGCTGGACATGGTGGTACATGCTTGTAATCTCAGAACTTGGGAAGCAAAGGTAGGAGGATCATAAGGTGGACTGGGCTACATAATGTGCTTAAGGCCAGCCTAGGCTATATGAGACCCACCAAACAAACAAACAAAACAAAACAAAACAAAAAAAAAAGAAAACAGAAAAAAGCAACAGAACTCACACATACACAGACATGTGTGCATGATGACTTGTTGTCGTTCTGCTTCCATCCCTTCCTGTGTCTTTTCCGTCTGCATCCCCACTACAGGCCCCAGCATTAGGAGAGGACCAGTTAGAGCACCAGCGACCAGCACTTGTGGCCCGCTCCAGCCTCCCAATCAACCTCACATTTTGACCAACAACCTATTCTACAGAACCTCCTAAGAAACCTGGATGTAACTCAAAGCCCTTAGTCCAGTCCTGCCACTGTATACATTAATAGTGAACATACTTTCTTTCTTATAGTCACACACAGGACTAAGAGGTAAATATGTCTTGCTAGTGCCTGACCCTGCCTGCAGGGCTTTTTCATACACTCAAGGCAATGGCTCATCTGATCATTTCCCAGGCAGATGCATCCCAGTTACCTGCTATTTTGATATTCATGTTGTTATCCAGCAGGAGATTTTCAGCCTTCAGGTCACGGTGCACAATCTTCCGGTCATGGCAATAATCAACAGCAGACAGAATTTGCCAGAATTTTCTCCTGGCTTCAGATTCATTTAACCGGCCATGATTAGCAAGATAATCTGTAAAAGAAGAGAACATTTAGAATTATTCACCAAAATAAATAACCTCAATATTAGCATTTAAGAAAATTTTGACAAAGTTTTTTTTATAATAAAAAATTAATGTTCTAATAACACAAATAATGCTTTCCAAATTTCTTGCCTTTGGAGAAGTAACTTCAACTATATGTCACAGGTTCTATATAAATTCCAAGACCCCCATATCAGATAATAGCAAGGGTGATACAATATCCACACGACATCTCAAACTAAGTTTATTTTATCTGTTTGCCTGTGTACTCTGCTAATTTGCTGAAAACATATTGTTTCTTCACATCATATTTAAATACATAAAACTCTTGCAAGGCAAAGAACATGAATGAATTTTCTTAGAAGGGACATCATAAACATTACTTTCATGTAAGACCTGGAAATAGCTTCAATGATTCAAACTCTAGTCTGTTGAAAGAAACAATCCTGATCTACTCAAAAGCAGACAAATTTGTTTTCTAAATTACAACCATGTCAAATGACTATAAGCCACAGCTGTAAGACAATATACTTTTCAGGATATATTAGCATCTCTGTACAGTGTTACAATCTTTATTAAAGCAGTTTGGCTGAAAATTAATTGTATACCAACTATATACATGACTTCAATAAAACTAAATGCTACAACTTGAAGAGCTGAAAGCCTTCCATAATCTTTTTAGAAGGAGAGGATCAACACAAATCTTGAAAAAAAATTACTTAAGTTTTCATAAGTAAAGAGCCGTATTATATAATATATATAATGTATATAATATATTGTCTTAGTTAGGATTATTATTTCTGTGATGAAACACTATGATCAAAAGCAACCTGGGGAAAAAGGGTTTATTTGGCTTACATATCCTGAATCATAATTCACTGAGGGAAACCAAGGCAGGAACTCAAACAGGGCAGGAACCTGGAGGCAGGAGCTGATGCAGAGGCCATGGCAGAGTGCTGCTTACTGGCTTGCTCAGGCCTCTTTCTTATAGCACCCAGGATCACCAAACCAGGGGAGGAACCGTCCACAATGGGTTGGGCCTACCCACATCACTAATTAAGAAAATGCCCTACAATCTTGTCTACAGCCAGATCTTATGATGGCAACTTCTCAACTGAGGTTCCCTCTCCCCGATGACCACAACTGTGTCATGCTGACATAAATCTAGCCAGCACAGTAATGGCATTCAGCCATCTTCACACATTCCTCTCTGCTCTCATCTATATGGTTATAGGTTGTTGTTGTTTTAAAGCTCATGCCTTTGGCCCATTACCTTCCATACTATGATTGTTTCTTTTTAAAATTTATAAAAGACTTCACAGTTTATGAAGTATAATGATGCCATAGTATTTCACATCCCACAAACCTTTATGGTTATCTTTTTCCAATTCCTACATTATGGGTAAGAAAGCTGAAGAAAAAAAGAATTCAGTGATTTAGCTGAATTTATATAACTTTTAAGTGAATTAGTTGATTAGGACCAGAAACTGGGACTGTATTATTTAATCATCTATAGACTCTTACTGAAATCTTAACTATTCTTTTAGAATCTTGCTCAAATGTCACTTGGCCCTTGGTAGTCTTATATCATTTCAAGTAAAAAGAATTTCTCTTCTCTGAATCTTAGTTACTGTTCTATTTGCTGTGAAGAGACACCATAATCAAGGAAATTTATAAAAGAAAGCATTTAATCGGGAGCTTGCTTATAGTTTCAGAGGGTGAGTCCATGATCATCATGTCAGGAAGCACTGTAGCAGGTATGGCACTGGAACAGTAGCCGAGAGCTCACCTAACTGAACCAGAAGCTCATGGCAGAAAGAGGGAGACTGGGCCTGGCTTGGCCTTTTGAAATCTCAATCCCCACCCCCAGTAAAACACCTCCTCCAACAAGGCTACACTTCCTAATCCTTCCTAAAGTGTCCACCAACTTGGAGCCAAACACTCACACATATGAGCCTATTGGAGTCATTCTCATTCAAACCACCGAAGAACCCCTTATCATATATCATACTCTGAAACACTGTAATTACTCTCAGATACAAAAATATCCCAATGTATACACATGCAACTTTGATGTAACGCAGTGTGCTTTGAAAATACACATACATCTAAGCAATTTGAGAATAGAAATCAAGCTTTTCTCTACTATAATCTCTACAACACTTAGCACTACACAAGACACTATACACATTCAATGAACCTATCAAAATCTTATTATGGTGCTATTATGAATTTTTCCATCAACAATACTGTAAAAGATGTATAGAAACTATAATCTTTAACTCTTCTACACATTATTATTCTACACACTGCAGGCCTTAAATAAAATGCATATTTTATCTATTCTACATTTGCTAGTATCAGAATCTGAAATAGTAGGCTCATAATGCTTCCTTTTGCCTAGACAACAATCATCTACAATTCTGAAGGAAAAGAAAGGATCCCTCAAGAATATAGAGAACTTCTGGTAAAGATCATCAAACTGTCTTTAAGGAGGAGTGTTTCACTTATTCTTTGATTTCCCATATTCTCTATATGTTGTAATTCAAAATTAAAGGACTGAACAAATGTAGGCTTAATCTTTTTAAAGTGACAAGAAAATGCCATAGGTTTATTTCTAAGGAGCACTGCAGTATCTGGTTCTGCTTAGGAGTGCTTTGATTGACTAGTGAGCTCCTGGCGTGAGCTCCTGATCTTTCCATTAAGGATTCTTAGCACTGTCTCGCTTATGATCACAGTTCTAAAATACCAGCACACACTGAAGTCTCACAGGGCTTGATAATCAAAGACTACTGGAAACTGTCCTCAAAGGCTGTTGGGAGCTTGGGGAAGAGGCTGAGCACCTGCACTGTCTTTAGAAAGTGTCCAGGCAATATTGAAGATGAAGGCACAGGAGTCAAAGTCTGAGACCCACAACAATTCAAGGTTTTATCATAACTGGTTATCATCACATGAATCAATGATTTCATACAGAATCAGAATTTGGTTTTTATAATTATTTATTCCTGCCACAATTATTAAATGAAATTTTGTTGGGAAATGTTTCTCAAGAGAGAATTTTCTCTTGTCAATTAGGATTATTTAGATCTTCTAACACTCTCTGAATGGGTTAGAAACGATAGATGATAGATTCTTTTTCAATTAAGTACCAACTTGAGAGTAGAATCTACATGCCTGGTCATTTTATTTAGTATGCCTTTCTCTCCAGTCTTCTAAGAATCACAATGATACCTAGTAGCTGTTGTTTTTTACTCTTTGGTTCTTTACTCTTTTTTTTTTGGAGGGGGGGGAGGGCGCCACACAGCTCCCAAATAAGTACATGAATAAGGCTTATTCTTACTTATAAATGCCCAGCCTGAGCTTGGCTTGTTTCTAGCCAGCTTTTCTTAAACTATCCCGTCTACCTTTTGCTTCTGGGCTTTTACCTTTCTCTATTTCTGTATCTCTTTTCTTTCCTTCTTATTCCATGTCTGGCTATGTGGCTGGCCCCTTCTTTTCTTGCTTCTTGATCTCTCTTGCTTTCCTATCCCTCTTTTTCTCCTATTTCTCTGCCTGCCAGCCCTGCCTATTCTTTCTCTCACCTGGCTATTGGCTGTTCAGCTCTTTATTAGACCAATCAGGTGATTTAGCAGGCAAAGTAACACAGCTTCACAGAGTTAAACAAGTGCAACATAAAAGAATTCAGCACATCTTTGCATCATTAAGCAAATGTTCCATAGCATAAACAAAATGTAACACATCTTAAACTAATATTCCACAACAATGTCAGGTTTTTATATTCAACTTAACTGTATGTAGCTATTTATTTAATTCTATGTTGTTTAGGTTTTCTTGTCTCTGGCCAGTGAAAATTCCATCACATTGTCCATCATCTCCCCCTGCGACAGGGATCAACCTAAAGTCCAGAGCATCATGTGTGCCAGGCAAGTGACCTACCCCTGAGCTACATTTTCCATCCCCACTTCACTATAGAAAAGTCTACAGCTTGCTGTTTTCTGGCATAATAAGAGTGATTCACATTTATCTCGAATATTTCCTTTCCTGAACCTCAGTCAGTCATTTTTTGAGAGGTATGGTGTTTTTTTTCTGGGAAATCATAATGGTGTGCTTTCTAGTGGTGGGTCAGGAGTCACTTCCATGTCTTTACGAAGACACAGCTAGAGGTAAGGATTTAAAAAGGAAAAAAGAAAACATGCATTATTCTGTTTACTGCCATTTCAAAACTAATATTCTAGAAATTACATTTGGTTTGACCATTCATTCATTCATTCATTCATTCATTCATTCATTCATTCATTCATTCATTATTATTTTTTTTCCCAAGAGAGGGTTTCTCTGCATAGCCCGGGCTGTCCTGGAACTTGCTCTGTAGACCAGGCTTGTGTCGAACTTAAGAGATCTACCTGTTTCTGCTTTCTGTATGCTAGGATTAAAGGTATGGGCCACCACCCTGGCTTTTGTTTGTGTTTTTAAAAATGTCATTTTCCTAAAAGACCTTGGTTCTTAATATTCACATAAAGTATTTGTTCTATCCTAGAGTAAACATCAAATAATCTCAAAATAGCTATACTAATATTACTACTAACAATAAAGTTATTGAAGTTTATAAGCTAATATTTCTGTGAAGTTCTTTTTGACTTGGGATAACACTGGCTTGCAGTATGGAGTCTAACTACCATGCTTTAAAAGTACTTGAAAGAAAGGTTTGGGAATGTGGTTCAGTGACAGAGCACTTGTCTAGAGCAGGTTTCCATCGCCTGCACTCCCTAAAACACAACACGGTTACTGGAAAAGCTTCTATAGAACATTTCCAACACGAGAGAAAGACGGCTGTGTATGTTTTCAAGCATTAGAAAATGGCTTCTCTCCAATTTTACTTTGAATATATAAAACATCTGGTACTTAGAGAGGTCAACATTAAAACTAGATGACTCGACATAATCAGAAGTCTTCCATCCTGGTTCCCCTCCTCAGTCTACAGGTAACTTTG